AAGATCTTCACCCTGAAACCTGCAGCGTCCCTTTTCAGCAGGAAGTAGCTAAGAGAGTCCACCGCCCCATTTTCCTTATGAATCAGGGTGAAATCTCTCTCAGGGAGGAGTGACAGGGAATGGCAAAGGACGCATGGACAAAGGAGATTAATCAGAACTGGCTTTGATGGGGACTATGGCAACATGACAATGGAGGAAGCTGATCCTCAAGGAATGCTGCTTTATTGAAAGTGTTTTTGTGAACTTATTTTGTTTTCTCATATTTGCTTTCTTGTATTTGTTTGATTATATATAAAGGATTAAGAGACAAGAATGAATCCTGAAGAAGAAAAAGTACACTCATCTTGATGATCACAAAATTATGATTTAAACAAAAGAGGGGGAAATGAGGGAAGCCGAATATCAGATTTAATAATAGTAGACCAAATGCTGTATCGGGAAATGAGGGAGGCTTAATACAAGCTGAAGGTCACCTTGTGACACTGGGGCATTCCTTAGGAGTCAACATTGTTCTTAGTTTTCATCAAATGAATCCCTCCCTCTTGAGATTAACATAAAGAGGAACTTGGCCTTATCTGTAAAAGATTTCACCATTATCCTTTGTTTTGTACTTCCTTGTGATTCTATATAAATACGCAGAGAAGCGTGGCTCGAGGTCTTCAGTCGAGAACTGCTGACCCCCTGTTTTACGCTCTCTCCTCTATCTCATTCCTGGTTGTTTGTCTCTTTATTATAAAATGATTCTATTCTTTGGGACCCTCGGTCTGCAATATTCAATGGCTCGCTATTTCAGAATGCCAGACTTTCTAGCCTGGAAGTGCCACTGCAATGTCCCCCACGGGTGACCCTGCTGTCTGTCCCTCGGAATCCTGGTTGTACAGCTTCAGCATCACAGCACACAAGCCCCCACTAAAGACAGGCTGACATGGGAGTGCTTGCCAGCATGCTTTATTCTTTTGAGGGTGGTTGTTATATGCCTTCGAGTTGCCTGCGACTCATAACGACCCTATGAACAACAGCCCTAAACCCTGCTCTATCCTGTGCCAGTCTCCCTGTCCCTGACACACCTGCTCCCATTACCCCAGTCACTGAATCAATCCACCACATAGAGGGTCTTCCTCTCCTGCACTGTCCCTCCACCCTCCCAAGCATGACGACCTTCTCCAGGGACTGGTCCCTCCTTGCAACATGTCCAAAGAATGTCAGAGGAAGCTTCAGAATCCTTGCCTCCATGGAGCAGCCTGGTTTAACCTTCTCCAGGATGAACATGTTCATTTTCTTGGCAGTCCATGGTACACTCAATACCCTTCTCCAGCACCATAGCTCAAAGGCATCAATTCTCCTTCTATCCTCCCTAGTCATTGTCCAGCGGTCTGACACATAGCAAGTGATTGCAAAGATCGAGATAGTTTCTACCTGGAGAAATCAGGAGGGTTTCCTCATGGACGGCATTTCCACTGATTTGGAGCAAGCAGCAGAGGGCATTCTAGCAAAGGCGTAACAAGGACGGGATGGGAGCCAGGACACGCAGAGTGGACATGGACACCTGGAGAATCAGTGCCACCTGTGGGGAAGGTGGACACTTCGGGACCTGCCTGCTGGACGTGACTGCAGACTGCCCTTGGTGGGGTGGGCTACAGGTGCCAGAACTCCCAAGCGGGTACTGCTGGGACCCGAGAGTGGACGTAAAGACAGCGAGCCAGCGCCTGGCGTCATCGAAAGGCTCCCGTCGCCATAAAGCGGTCACGCTGTCCACAGCCAGCACATCTCCAGGCTGCTGGAACCCACGGCCCGTGACACGTGTCTCCAGCCTCGGGGGCCCCGTCCTGGACAATGGGCCCTGGGACACACTTCCTGGTACCTGAGGTCCCCCAGGACCCCTGCCGTCGGGAGGACAGGGCCGGGCCCGCGCGGTGGTCCGGAGGCTCCAGGTCCTGACCAGCCTCCAGGGATGGACAACTCCGGGACGCTCCCGCCTCTTTCCGCGGCTCCTCCCCTCAGGCCCCGCCCCAGCCTTTCCAATTGGGAGCCTCTCTATTCCCCGCCCCAAGCGTGTCTTTTTTCCCAAGTGGCCAATCAACAGCTAGAGACCGCCTCATGTCCCACCCTCGACGTGTCCTCCCTTTTCCTCTTGGCCAATCAGCAGCCGGAAGCCGCCGCGGTCTTCAGTTCCCCCGCCCCACCTTCTGCTTGAAGGACAGCTGAGCAGACCAATAAACTCCCGGGGCGCGTAGCCGCAGGGCCAATCCCGACGCGGCACGGGCAGGGCCGGGCCGCGTGGTGGACGCGGTGGGTGGAGCTCGCTGGTTGCTAGCCGCGGCCGCCAGGGCCGGTCCTCCGCAGCGAAGCCCGGGAGGCGCGTCGAGGCGCGCGGGCGCCGGGTGCAGCCCGAGGCCTGGTTCCGCGGCTCGCGGCCGCCGGACAGCGAGGGTGAGGCCGGCGGGGCGCGGGCGTGGGCACCCGGGTCCCCGGGCGGGCAGGGGCCGCGGCTGAGGCTGAGCCTGCGCCGGAGGCGGGTGCTGGGCCGAGGGGGCGGGGAGGGCCTGTCCATCCCGGTGAGTCCCCCGCCCCCATCACGGGGAGGGCTGCGGGCTTCCGGGGCAGGCGGTCAGTGTCCTGCCCGGAGCCAGCACGTGTCATCTGGGCAGCGAGGCCTGGCGAGGTCGCCTGGGGTCCCCAGCTCCACTGGGAATGCGTGGAGACACACTCGTGTCCACTCTGGAAGGTGGAGGCCGAGGGCCAGAGGGCAGTGCTGTGGGTGGCAGTCGGGTGAGAAATCGTCCAGGCCCCATACAGCTTGTCTCTGCTGATGGTCATCCCTGGCCTCGTGCCAGCGTGACCTGTCCGTCTATGCTGATGGTCATCCATGGCCACGTGCCAGCGTGGCCTGTCCACACTTCCTCCCACCAGGTGCTGGGCAGCACTCCCTGATCCCGTGGAAAATGCCAGCAGTGGAGAGGGGCAGGGTGGGTGGTCCAGCTCCCTGGGTGTCAGAATGAAAGGCCTTCCAGCTCTCTGGCCTTCTAGGTTAAGGGACACTGGAGGCTGGCTTGGCCAGCACGGAGCAGGTGACAGACTTAAGTAGGGCCTGTCTGGTGGGTGGTGAGAAGTCTGGACTTCCTTCCCCGTTTCCAGGAGGCCTAGGGAGAGTGTCCAGTGGGGCCACAGAGTCCTGAGAGGGGCACATGGTCAGATCACACAGGGCTGCTCTCCAGAGTGCTGGTGAGCCACTCTTCTGAGGTGTCAGCCGTCTGAAGCCCTGGGGCCCCGCACACGTGGGCTCTGCCCCCTAAGGTCACCATAGGTCCGAGGTGACAGCTTCTCAGCCAGCTGGTCTCAGAGTTCTGCTCCGGCACCGCCATGAGAATGGGTGCGGCTGGGGCCAGGGTTACAGGTGGAGGAAGTGGACTGGATGGTGGGAGAGAGGCCTGGAGCTAGCCAGAGGTGGACATCAGGAATGTCATCTCGGCCTCGAGGGTACGGCAGTGTGTCCGGGTTGGCGGTGTGGGTTGGGAGTTGGACCCGTGTGGAGAAGCTTGGCTGGGGGGAGCGATCAGCAGGTGGGGAGGGGGGGGTAAGTCCGCTGGCAGAAGTGACCCTGTAGAATGTGGCTGTAGAAGAGAGAGGGAACAGCCTTAGCGGTCAGCAGAGGACAGGGCCGCTGGAAGCAGAGAGAAGGTCGCTTATGCGGAGGTTGCTTTCAGCGCCTTCTCGGGACAGCAGCTCTTGGGCAGTGAGCGGGGGCCCCTGTGGACAGTGGTGAGCAGACCTCAGCAGTGTTGCTCGAGGTAGCCCATGAGCTGCTTCTGGGGGACAGAGCTTCTTGGATTGGGTCCTAGTCAGAACCGCTCTTTGTCTGTCAGGGCTGTCTGTCCTCATGTCCCAGGGGGAGGATGGAGCAGTGCTTGATTTCATAAGGGAGGACCTTGAGTGCCCTGGCCTGGGCTGGTGCTGGAGCCGACCGACCTCCTGTCCTGGCGGGTGGTGGGCACGGACCTGTGGACCTGGGGGCTGCTGAGCCTGGCCCTCGCCCCCACCCGGCTGGCACTGGAGCAGACCTCCTGTCCTGGTGGGTGGTGGGCACACACCCCTGTGCGTTTGGGCCCTGGGTGCGCATATAACCCCCACTCTCGCTTTGTCGCTCAGGCTGCCGCACTCACCATGAGGCGCTCCCAGGCCCCCAGCGGGCCCCCCGAGGGCAGCCCAGACAGTGTGGACCTGAGCCTGACCGGCCTGCCCCCACCCGTGTCCCGGCGCCCCAACAGCGCCTCGGCCACCAAGCCCTTCGCCCGCTCTGTCTCCGTGGCCACAGGCAGTCAGTCCAGGAGGAAGACACAGGTGAGTGTGTCGGCCCCCCTCGGGCTGGTGGCACCTGAGCCCATCCAGCTCCACACAGGCCCCGCGTGAGGCAAGGATCCTCCTCTCGGGATGCACGTCGCTGTTCTGCCAGCGTGGGCCGTCCACAGCTGAGTGGCTTGGTTGAAGTCCTCAAGACACAGGGTCCACTTCTGTGAGAGGAGCCTGAGTGTGGAGGCAACAGGGTGACGGGAAGCATGGGACAGAGCTGCCTGCTGGCCCACCCCATGAGCACCCCAGCTCACCAGACTGGCCGGCCCTGCTGGGAGGGGCGAGGCTGGGTCGGAAGACATGTTCATGGGACATCGTGACAGATGGAGCCAGATTCTCTCCATAGAGACCACCCCCTGCCCCTTGGCCAAGGGCTTGCAGCCCCATAGCCAGCCAGCTATGGCGTGAGCGGACGGCACATGCAGCGTTCTTACCGGTGGTCACTCACCGGCTGAGTTTATGTCTGCTTGTACTGTTGTGCAGATAAGCTTTCACTGACCTAATTGTCACACTTAGAGTGTGGCCTAGGGTGCCCTGGGCCCTATTAGTGACCGGTTACTCCACACAATGCGTGTGTCACATTAGCCAAAGCAGACCCCTGCCTCGTGGGTTCTGACTCCGAGTGACCCTGGAGGACAGAGCGGGGTGGCCCAGAGGCCTTTGAGTCTGTGCTTCTCTCTGAGAGGTGACTGGGGGCAGAACCACCAGCTCTTTTGCTGGCAACCGGACACTTAACCCACCGTTCCATGAGGGAGTGCGTGCCTTTGTCGGTTACTGACTCAGAACCAGCCCCTCTGCTGTCCGGTTGGTCCGGCTCACGGTGTTTGGTCCCGATGCACTGCGTGTTTATTGGAGGAGGCTGCCCATCAGAGGAGCTGGTGGATCTAAACCCCTGACCTTTCCATCAGCAGGTTGGCTGCTTAGTCCACTGTGCCTCCCGCGGCCTTGTCACATCAGGTGTCAGTACTGGCTGTCACCGTTACCTGGAGTCCCTTGAGCACACTTCCTGTCCCAGGCCCTGTCACTCTGTTCTCGTGTCTTTACAGACTCCCTGGGCTGGGTCATCTCAGCCGTGTGGCCCTGACCACCTGACAGTTCTGAGGCAGGCTGGTGGGTGCCTAGATTGTCCCTCAATGACTTGATGGCTCTGAGGAGGGCTGGTCAGTGCTACCTGGACTCACAATCAGACCCCATGGTGGCAGTGGTCTATAGTTGTTGTTGTTGTTGCTATGTGCCGTCAAGTTGCTTCCGACTCATAGCGACCCTGTGTACAACAGGCCAAAACTCTGCTCTGTCCTGTGCCAGTCACACCGTCTCCGACACACCCATCCCGATTACCCCAGTCACCAAATCAATCCACCTCATAGGGGGCTTTCCCCTTCTGCGCTGTCCCTCCACCCTCCCAAGCATCATGATGTCCCTCTCCAAGGACCGGGTCCCTCCTTGCAACATGTCCAAAGTATGTTAGACGGAGTCTCAGAATCCTTGCCTCCAAGGAGCCACCTGGTTTAACCCTCTCTAGGATGAATCTGTTTGTTTTCCTAGCAGTCCATGGTACCCTCAATACTCTTCTCCAGCACCACAGCTCAAAGGCATCA